GATACGGAGCCCGTGTGTAACGCTGCTAGACTTGCCTACCTATGTAGTGAGGTAGCGTGTACTACTTATGGAAGCTCGACATCCAAACTTCGATCTCTTTTGATATTTTATGAGTACAAATGCTAAATTTGAGCATTATATATTGTTAAATTTGCTTTTTGCTCTAAATCAGCCCGTTTGGCTTAGTGGTACAGCGTCTCATGGGGGGAAGTGGGGAAGAGACAAACAATGTGTTCAGGAGTTGCATATGTTGATGGGAAGATAAATGGGCCTTCCAGTCCGGTGATGGCGGTAAGTTCAGGAATCAAACAGCTCATGTGAGATGCACAACAACATGACTGGATCAACATATTCACTACCTGATTGAACAAGGCGCATTTCAGCCACAACCTGGTAACACGCGTTCATAGAGACTGAGCAGCTTGAACTTCAGCCGTGTAGGTCTCATACATCAGTAGTCTTCAATATCTTGTGCATTCAGTACATAAACAGATCACAGAAGGCACATATTCTAATAGTTCTTGCTCGGTTCAGCATCTTGGTAGCTCTCGCTGCTCAAGAAGTTCCCGCCCTACACCACTTGGCGGTACGAGCATATCATAGGGCTGATTTTTGATTACGCAGGTTGACTCCTGCGGCAAGGGTGAGGTTGTGCTCACCGGAAAAGCCTCAGCATTACTGCGTCCTCTTTTTCCGAGACGCGCCGTATGAATCGTCCGCGTCGTCATCCTCACGCGGTGGCCTCTTTTGGTGCGATGGGAGGCCAGCTCCACCGCCGAACTTCGCATGAAGCCTCAACGCAGCTCTGAGTGCATCGGACTTGCCAACGCATGCTGAGATGACTTGGACCCAGTCATCTTCCTCATCGCCGACCACAGCCTTGACCTTCTCGGTCTTCTGAGCCTTTTCGGCCGTCTCAGACTTCTTGGGCCTCGTAGGCTTCTTCTCGGCCTTGGCTTGTGGTCCCGGAGTACCTTCTAGCCCCGAAGCTTGCCACAGCGCCAATGCCGCGAAGCAGCTCTCGTGCTTCATGTGGTAGTACTCACATGTCGCACATTTGGGGGCCTTGCACTCCCCAGGGTGAGCCTTGGCGCACTGTGTGCATACCGGCGTTGCTGGGGGCGGTGCTGCCGGGCTTGGCTGCTGCTGTTGCTGCGGAGGCTGCAGAGGCTGCGGTTGCGGAGACTGCGGAGGCTGTTGCGCACCAGCTCTATGAGCGGCGGCGGCATCTTCTGCGGCTTTCTCCAGACCACGGCCGACGTTGGTGCTTGCCTGGAACACCTTCTTGACAACGTGCGGAGGAGGGTGTTTCTTTGAACACTCACCACACGCAGGACAACCATTGGCAACCCAAGCCGCCTTTTGCGTCTGCCAATTGGCCTGCCACGATTTCCAACACCGCAGACGTTCATCAAGGGAAAGAGTCTCATCTTCCCACGACCGCCATGCGCCAGCCGCCAATGACTGGCTGGATGTGTTGGAACCCTGCGCAACGCCAGAGTTCGATGCCGTCGCCACGGGCTGAGCTACACGAGCCGCGCCGCTGTCAGGCTGACCAGTCGCCAATGACTGACTGGTCGTGCTGGGATTGGTGGCAATGCCACTTTCTCCCGAAGTTGCCTTGCCCACCGGTTCAATGTCCATATCGTCTGAATTAGAAAACGGCTGTTCGGACGGTTAGCCGGTGTTTCGTTGAGTCCATCTAGGCGCGCTTACGAGCGCGGCCGCCAAAGTCCTGCTTTCCACAGGCTCGGGGGCGCCGTGGATCATGTCGTGATCTTGGCCGTTCGACATCTTGGGAATGTCAGTCTAGACCACTGCTTGCTTGAGACGCGCACATACGGTGTTGCTGTTGTTGCTGTTGCTGTTGTTGCTGCTGTTGCTGTTGCTGTGCTGTGTCGCTGTCGCTATCGCTGTCGCTGTCGTTCCGTGTTGGGCAAAGAGGAAACGGGCAAGGGAAAATTGTCAAAATTAAGTGTGACTCGAAGCGATGACATCACGTTTTCAGCCCAGTACCGATACGGACTTTCACTTCGTAGCCTTCCAGCTCACAACATGCAAGGCTGTTCATGCCGGGTCTCATGAAATTCCTGATCACCTTTCCCACAAGCGGAACTTTGTTTTCCGTTGTTTAAACCTCCATTCGATTACTCCTCTCTTACAATGCAATGCGACTTAGAAACACTCCGTCAAGACATGAGTTTGGCAAGTGAAAGAACGTGGCCTGATATGGCAAACTGATCTGATGGAACTGGCTGATTGAATGGAAGACTGGTATCTGATCGAGATTGTGTAGATACACTAGGCGGTTGGCACTGCTACCAGGTCGTCTGTGTTCAGAATGGTTCCATCGATGGACTGCTCTGTACAGCCATATGTTGATGATGATGTTGTTGCTTGACGCCGGACAACGGCCGACTTGTTCCGCCCATTCGAGATTTTGTCGCTGACCATCGCTGTGGACGGATACTGATGGATGCGCTATCTATCGCCTTCTGCCTTTTGGGCTTACAGTCGGGATTGGACGTCGTGGCTCCTGGGAGACGTTTGCAGTTGTCAGTATGGCCGTGCGGTTCATCTAGGTCTGTGTCAGTATACGCTTGAACAAAGCACGCAGCAGCAGCATCCCCTGAACTGCGCAGTATTCTGATAGTAGTTGTCCTCGGACAACCGATGACCATCACTCGCAGAAAACACTACTGACGCAATTCCGGCAACCAGATGTTGCGACGGTAAGTAAAGTCTCTTCTACTGCAGGAAGATATGTAGATGTGCTGAACGACTACCTGAGGTTGACCCGGTGAAGGTAGTTACAACAACGGTTGCAGACCCTAGGCCTAGCTTGGGAAAGCAAAAGGCAGAATCCATGGGCGGAAGGACCCTTGCAAAAAGGCTGGTCTCTCAATGAGCCCTTGGAGTAAGGTGCAGCTTTGTCTATTCAAGCAACAGTATCTACATAGAGTACGATCCAGACAGGAGCCATACTGGCCCATGCTGGCTGATGAGCAAAGACGATGAAAACAAACGAAAGTCGTGGTGTGTGGTGCCAGTCCTCTCCAGTACGTGCGGCGTAAAGTTTCCTCTCTCAGGTTGGTTGTCGGGGCTGAACCAAGACACGGACACACCAAAGGGTTAATGCTTAATTCGTCAGCGGTCTACCGCCCTGCACCCTCGGCAGAACTTCATCCAACCTCGCTGTTGGGTCTTGAGGTCATAACATAGGCGATACAGCCTGACTCGTCCTGTCTAGAGTGCCACTCCATGACGCTGGAACCACTGGAGCTACGAATGCATCGTTCATCCGCCATGAGATGTTACCGTACTGCCGCCGTACTGCCGCCGTACTGCCGCCTGTTCTGCGAGTCGGGAAACTCACTCGTCGGCAGTGCCGCAAAGAGCATCTGTATTGCCGGCGGGACCTTGTAGAAGCATCTGTTAAACCCAACTGTATCATCGAAGTGTACGGAGGGCGGTCAATCAAAGAGCAATCGGGATCAACATCTTCGGAAGACGGATATTTGGGAGTAATTGGTCATCGGCAATGTGAAGGGCTTGAGCGCAGATTCGTACATAAGCAACATGGCTCGCGTAAGGACGTTCAGGTAAAGGCCTGCAGAAAGCAGGTCGCCCTGCGGTTGCCATTGAGGACCATCCGCGTTGCCTATACTCTCATTAAGTCTCCTTTCAGATGGCTGACTTTCAAGAAACCACCGTACATCAATGCAGGAGTTCTCATGCTCGCTCAGGTAGACTGCTTCATTTCCAGGTAATACGCTCGCGGTCCACAAGTTGGGTTGTTCCTTTTGATGCGGAAGATACGCCTTACTGTAAACTTTCAACTATTTCAAAGTCTACCTTCTAGACGGCTTGCATTTGAGGAAGATTACACTCTGTTTGATGTCAGCGCACGTTGAACAGACACGTGTTTCAACATATGAGGAATATACGAGCGAAGACAGCGCAGACACCACGTCGTGGTGCAGCCATCATATCAGCCAACGCCGGAGTAGAACGCCGTGAGAGAAGGTGACGGGAGCAGTGGAGGCCCATCTCAATCGAGCCTACATCTAGAAGATCATTCCGTTCCAGTGATGTTCTGGACACCTCCAGGTTCTGAACCTTTTGCTCGGGCTTCTTCCTTTTGTCGCATCCCCAGCGCCTCGCTTGGCTTAAGTCAAAGACCATTCCAACGTGTAACTTGATTATGGTCCTCGATCCCTATGACGCTCATAGGGTCTGCCGGTGCAGAAGTCTGCTACATCTAAGGTTAAGCGGAACCTTGAGCGATTGGGCATCACCTTTGCGGTCGAGGAGGCGGAGCTGCCGCGCCCAGTGCCGCACGAGAAGGTCTTTGGGGTGTCTTATGGACACTTTCGGACTGAGGGCGTCCCATCATACCTGGAAGGGGTCATCCATGAAGGGTCCGACGAGATCACGGTCCCAGATTACCTTCGTGATCTAATCAGTGAGTCTCAGACAATCCCCGGACCAGAGCCGATCCCCGCCCACCTCCGTGACATGATTTCTGCGGGTCCGTTGGCGAAGAAGCAGAGGGCGGCCAAGAAGTAGGGTTTGGAGATGGTGGCTAGGATGGTTGCGGTGGTTACAAGGTCGGGCGGGGCTCTCGAATGCGGCAATGGCTGGTTGGTGATGGCTGGCTGATAGTGGCTGGAGTTGGGAATTTGCGATCATGATGGACAATGGCTCATGAGTTGAACCAGTATCATAGTCATCAAAACTCTTTCTACAGCGGATGCCTCTTCAGTTTGCTCTCTTGTAGTTTTATAATCGAAGACTAAAGATCGCTCAAAGGCAGTTTCAGCTTTGAGTGACCGACTGCTCTCATGCTGAAAGAAGGATATCAACCAGATGTTCTCACACCGCATGATGCACTTTTAGAACGCCTGGCTTTGAGTGAAGTATGTTGTAAAAAAAGACGGGATCTGCCCCGCTTGTACGATGATAATATGTAAGACAAACTTTTCACATTCCATAAAACAGCCCTTATAGCTCAGGGGTAGAGCGCGTCACTCGTATTAACATCTAATACTGATTCCTCACATGACGAGGCCCTCGGTTCAAATCCGAGTGAGGGCACTGCTTTTTACGTTTTTCTTTGCCTCTACATGGAGCAGTTGACTGTTTATCAATGTTATAACATTTTGCAAACTACATAGTCAGTTTTGATGTTGTCGTGAGCCTTCCAAAGCTCTCGGAATCGACTGATGCAGGAAGCTTACGAATTTGGAGAGCCGCGTGAGACCCAGGCCGATAATGTTCCGAGGCGTGCATGGACTGAAACACCAACTCCCAACGGTCCCACGTCATGAGATTCGTGTATGTCCGGATTACCATGCACTCGATTCTATTGAATCACGTATGTGGGCAGCGTGTCTGTGTTGAAAGTGATCGTTACCAATAAGTGGAGATATGTGATACAAACTCAGCTGTATATCAGGTGATCTTAGTTGATAGAGCAAGTTTTGAATATTGGCATCAGCTCAGAATAACTTGGGGCGTCAGGCATCTACCGCTGCTTTCCTAGAGTCATCGTCCTACTGCCTCAGCATTAGACCTACGGTATGTAACTGGCCGGACCACTGCGTTAAGCGGACATCTTCTGAGTTAGGTATCAGTTATTACTTGACTATAATTCTTCACTTTTGAAACATGTACCACGTCACGGAAGGCCTTTCTGTCTCTCAAGGATATTGCGCTACAGACCATCATCAGCATTCAATGCAACACGAGGAGCATGATTTCCACAGCGGCTCGCATCGTCATTGAAGGCCTTTGGTTTGGTTGGCGCTTGATCTGCCTTCACAGACTATCTCCGTAGAGTTACGAGATGCCTCCATACGCTGTCAGTATGCTCATGCGGATGAGTTCATCAGTTCCATCACTGTGAATTGGTCTTGGACTACGCAACGCATTTACTTTGTACCAATTCGGACTGGGTGTTCAGCACGTTGAGCATAGGGTTGACAGATTCAGCAAGAAGCGCATGACAGGCTTTCCATCTTGGAATTGGCCCCCTATGCACTCTGTTCCTATGGCCGCAGCTTGAAGTCGAAGCATCAATTTCAATTGCGAAAAAGCTACCTTTAATCGCTAGAGAGCTACAAAGTCTGAGTACACTTTTTTTGAATAGCCAACATTGCACACTCTGATACAACGTCAGGCTAGAAACTGCCGAAATCTTGTCCCTCGCTCGCACAGGAAGAGCTCCAAAATTCAAGGAGAGACATAACATCATAACATCCAACATCAATAGAACACCTTCTCCTTCTGTCCCTGCTTCGACCCGCCCGATCCAACAACCTCCGAGCACTGCTCCGCCCTCACAAACTCATGGTCCTTGATCTTCACTAGCTCTGCATCCTCCTTCACCGCGCACGTGAAGACCGTGCTCCACCCTTTGGCACCGGCATTCCAGAATGCCTGCGATGCAGCGGCCTCTCGACTGCCCATCTTCACGACCTTGAATATAGTTGTATCCCTTGACAGTTGCGCAATCATCGGTGAAACCCCATACGGGTCAATCTTGTCCTCGAACGTCGACACGATAGAGTAGTACGCCAATTCGTTCCTGGCGGACTTAAGACTCTTGTGCGGCGGCAGGGTCCGGTGAGCTCGCATATCGCACTCGCTGGTGTCGGGATCGACATCACACTCGCCGATCTCGTCCTCGAGACTCGACGTCAGCGCGGCAGTCACGACGATGGTGGGACAGTCCAGGGCAGCCGGAGTGGCGCGATCAACCGGAACCAGAGACGTGATTTCGCAGCCTGCTTCTTCCAGCACACTGGCCCGCTTGAACCAGTGGGCGGTTGGGTAGATGTACCAGCAGTCAAGATTCGCGTGCTTGAGGAAGGGGAGGAACTTCTTGAAGTCGACGACTGCAGCAGGGTGGGAAGTGACGTAGACATTGCGGCCAAAGGGCTCAAGCCTCACAGTGATGTCCCGGGAGTCGTCGCCGTAGCGGAGAAGAGCGCGGTAGGACGAAATCTTGACGACACGGTCGGAAGAGTCGAACTCGGAATCGCTGGCTTCGGAGTCACTATCGTTCCAGGAAGCTACGCTACCCATGTCGCTATCGTAACGATCCCTGACCTTACCGTGGCGCTTGGCACCGACACGGTAGTGTACAGCCTCATGGTTCTTGCGGGCTGAGTATGTGCTGAGTCTGACCCTGCACTTCGTCCCGTCCTTGTCATGGAAACGACATGGGAATGTGCCGGACTTGGCAGGCAGCAATGGGGAGGCAATTTCTACTGGTACGGGAGGAGGTGGCGGGCCCCAAAGGACTTGGCCTTTTTCTTGCCCATCTTGAACCCAGGAGGGAGGATACAAGGATTCATTACGGGGTGGTGGAACGGCATGGGTGGCGGCGGAGGTGGAGGATAGCAGCTAACCCTCTGAGGCATCCGATATGACACGCCTGGCGGTGGTGGGGGAGGCAAAGGCCCGGGAAACCCTTTTGGCGGTAAAGGCGAGCAGGCCTGGAATTGTGGCGGGGGAACGCTCGGCCAGAAAGGTTCACATTCTGGAGGCGGAGCTAGCAGAGACGGATCGTCTTTATTGCTGTCTGCGGTATCCTCCTCTCCACTTCTGTCTTCAAGAACTCTGCTGGGAAGGGGTGTGCCTTGTGACAAACCTATGTGTTCCTCTGGCGGGACAGTCTTCTTTGAGACACGAGGCGAGGCCGCCCCTGGTGGACAGGGCGTCACCCTCCGCTCGGAAGATGTCTGAGATGGCGGAGGTGGTGGAAAAGTCGCTACTGGCGGCTCATGGACACCGCGTGCGGTGTTCTTGTTTATTGTTGGAGGCGACAGGGGTGCCGACGACCCACGAAGCAAATCGTCCTGCTCTTGACGAGCCATGAGCAGTCGCTTCTTGTTCTGCTGCTCAAGTAGCAAAAGTTGCATCTGGTAGTCCATCCGCTGGTCTGTCCTAGGCAGAGACGTTCGAGTGCCATGAGCTCCTCTTTCATACTCTGGCGCTTCGATCACATCGGGAGGAGCACATGGATAACTCTCGATTACCACTATATCCTCGGTGTCTGACATGTTGATGGCAAAATTTGCAAAAGCTCTGCTCCAGAGAAATGTGACAGTGTGAGCAGAGATAAGAAAAACCAAGAGTCGTTCGCTGTTTATACTGATACGACGGGAGGCAATACTAGGCAGCCAACAGAAAATGGCTCAATGACGAGACAACGAGTAAGGTAAGGGATAGAGCCTGCCTACCGACATCACGGAAGCTTACCTCGAATATATGATGTGACGGCGATGCATCATTCCGTGCAGGCAGTAAGCTCTGCGAATTTGGTACGCGGTCAGAGCTCACAAAGGAGCAGAGCCTCAGGAAACAAGGCGAACGAGGCAACGCGATCTGGCGATCTCTCATTGCACGGCATTTCCTTCGACGACTACTGTACTCGGGATACCGCGAGGCTGCAGCGGTGCCTACATACCTTTGTACAGTACAATACTCGTTGTGCTACAACAGGATGTGTTGGCAGCTGCGGGATGTTTTCGGCCAGATGCAGGTTTGTGACGCTCGCTGCTGCCTGAGGTGCGACCAGGGCACCAACCACCCAATCAATCATCAGTTCGAATGCCCTGACCACACTGCACTGCATCGACAAGGCTAAGATGTCGCGGATGGGTAACGACTGAATGGAGAACATAGAACGTAGAAATACACCTATTTGCCGAATCTAGGACAGGGTATCGGTGAAGAGCTTACAATGACTCTAAGCTTCATGACTACATACAGCGTGCATGATGTGCTGTCTGATAGCCTGTAGCGTACATGTCGCGACCCATTCGTGAACTAGATGCTGACCCGAGTTTGCAGAGTGCTTCTGCGCTGACATGCATCGGACACAAGCGGACGCGGGAGAGATTTTCAGCGTGCTTACCGGTGAAGAGCCGCCTGACTGAACAGCCATGAGAGATTCTGGTGTGTAGCTGACACGGCTACGAATATGGCGCGCTGTTTGCGGAATAGCAAATTGAACAAGTAGACTTTCGTCGCCTAAAAGGCAATAGGCATTCTAAGCCCAGGCTTCAGCCCTCTCAGTGATGCAGGCTCAGCAGTGATGACGATGGAGGAAGAAGAGACGGATGGGCTGTGGGAGAATGAACTTGAGGACCTGGAAAGAGAGGCAAGATGTGCTGTTGTGTCGTCGCAGAAGGCGAGACCAGCTGAGGAAATACCTTGAGAGTATTTGAACTGGTGTGGGATTGAAGATTTCCCGGCTCTGCAAAACATGTGACATCGCGCTTCTGGCGAAAGTCCGGCAAACTCCGTCGCTGTCAACATTCGCGACAACAAACACGGGCGCTGGAAGTGTGAAGCGCTGCATTCCTCTCCACCGCCGCCATGAGAATTGTCGAAGTAGTCATAGACGTAAGCATTGCGCCCCTTGGAGCCTCTTTGCAACTGCTAACGGGTTTTCAGGGTTTCAAATCGTACGCCGTGCGTACGGTGATATCAGGATGGTTTGTTTGCGCCTGCCAACTGAGCTCCCCAAAACTTAGCTGAAAATCAATCAGGGACGCCACCTTCAATTCAATTACAGGTCTCAACGGTTCCGGCAAGTCCAACATCCTCGACTCAATATGCTTCGTCCTAGGCATTACGAATATGAGCACGGTGCGAGCGCAGAACCTTCAGGACCTAATCTACAAGCGCGGCCAAGCCGGAGTCACCAAGGCCTCTGTTACGATCGTCTTCGACAACAGCGATAAGAAGACCTCACCCATTGGCTTCGAGGAGTATGCGCAGATCTCCGTGACGCGGCAGATTGTCCTAGGAGGCACATCGAAATACCTGATCAATGGGCACCGAGCACAGCAGCAGACTGTTCAGAACCTCTTTCAGTCTGTGCAGTTGAACATCAACAATCCGAACTTCCTGATCATGCAAGGCCGCATCACGAAAGTCCTGAACATGAAGGCTGTGGAGATACTGGCGATGATCGAGGAAGCGGCGGGCACAAGGATGTTCGAGGACAGGCGGGACAAGGCGTTCAAGACCATGGCAAAGAAAGAGATGAAGGTCCAGGAGATCACGGAGCTGCTGCGTGA